TTTTATGGTTTGGAGTGTGCATGTGTGTGTATGTGTGTGTGTGTCTGTGCGTGCATTAAATGATTGGGAAATGCACAGTAGAGAAGAAAATATGAAGTTGATTTCAGTCTGATTAAATGTTGAGCTACAGAAACATGTCTGATAACTAAACTTCCCCATAATATTGTGCCCTTTAATCTTGGTTTTGCAACTGAGGAGGGGAATTTACGAAGGGCTCCACAACATGGAGGCATAAGGTTTCCCCAGGTGATTATAGATCAGATATTTGACCCTAGAGAAGCTTTACTAGAATTGCTGCACCCACAAGAGTTTGACAGAGAATACAAGATGTTACAAAAACACATTTTTGTATTAGTCATGTCTATGGCACGCTGCCATTGCCTCTGTCATATGTTTCAGTACCAATTGCCACTTCCAACAAAAATATTATATTGGTAAAAAAAGTCTCTCACTGGAAAAAGAAATGATTTGACATAACCAAAGCTATACTACCACCTGACTTTTGAACCATAAAAGGTGACACAAATTATTCACAAGAAAGAATCTTTAAAAAATAATGATATTGGGAAAGGGTATTGGCATTGTGTCCTGGTAAAAGAAAACGAGTTTAGGTTGACAATGGAGGTATGAAGATGGAGCTGCCTGCTGTGATACACAAACAGCAATCACTGTTGCAAATGTTCTGGGGGACATGAAGTGCAGCAGTAAGCTTACAGATACAACTTGTGAATACCTGGAAAAAGATGAAAAGGGACTTTTTTGAAATAGCCTAAGTGAGAGATGATAATGGCGTAGGGTTGTGATGCCACTGTGGATTAGGTAATATAACCCATAGGACAAGATGTGGGATTGGATGCAGAGAAGGAAAATATGACTCACAGGTTTTTGATTGAGTTCTAAACAGATGGTGCTGGGAATAATGGGTGAGAAACAGGTTTTAGGTCAGAGAAAAATCAATAACTATTTTTCAACATCTTAATTTTAAGAGGGCTGTTAGAAATCTAATAAGAGATATTGACCATGCAGTTCAGGATTCAAAACTGAAGCTCATAGTGGATACTGAAGAAGAGTTTTAATTTTGCAAATTATATAAATAGATGAGTTGCTCTAAGGAAAACGTGAATAGAAAGAAATAAATTCTTTTTCAATTTCCCTGTCGAGAATTTGATGATACGTGGACAATGACAATTTTATTTCTTGTGTTCCAATGCTTATATCTTTTACTTTTTTCCAGCTTCACTGCCATTTTTATGATTTTCAGAAAAATACTGAATAAAAGTTGTTTTAGTAGACACCTATGTTTGTACCTAAATGACAGCTTTTCAATATGTGATTACTAAATATAATTTTTTTCTTGGTTATTTTGAAGATAACTTGCCTTAGGTTAAGAAGTTCTTTGGTCCTAGCTTTCCAATAGCTTTTATTTATTTATTTATTTATTTATTAAGTTTTAATTGTGAATGAATGTTGATGTCGGTCTCAAATACTTTACTACATTCATTAAAATTGTGATATGGTTATTCTCTTTTAATATAATGATCTATTTCTGGAATAATTTCAACTTGGTGATTATATATTCTTTTATAAATATATTACTCGGTTTGTTTTGCTAAAATATTTTATATGATTTTTCAACTCTGTTAACCAATTAAGTTAGACTCTAAGTGTCATTTTCAAAAGTATCCTCACTGAGTTTTGTATCAAGGCTATGTTATTCCCATTAAATGAGTTGAGAAGGTATCTTATATTTTCTATTCTCTGAGAAAATGTGTGTAAGCTCAGAATTATATGCTTTTGAAGTATCTCTTATCAACTGTTTGTAATACATTATGGGAAAGCCCAGCTAGTTTTCCTCTATACAAGTATAATATAAATTTGTCATGAAGATTACAAATAGGCACTCAGGATATAAATTATCCCAATTGCTTAAATAGGCATCACTTACTGGTAGCTTAAAAATTAAAAAGATACTTCCAAGTATCCTTTTTAGTATTATAATGACATGAAGGGGTTGCTTCTCATATCATCCCCATTTTACAACTTGAAAAACTCGAGCTTAAAGATTTGAAGAAGCTTGAGGTCATGCAGTCAGTACACAGTACAGCAACTACATCACCATGAAATGTCTCACTCCTGAATTTGCAGTTTCAATCATGTTATTTTGACAAATTTATTATAAAAAGGACAATTTGCTGAAAGTAAACTTTGCTTACTTTTTAAACAGAAATTATAATCATGATTATATTTCCACAGTTTAGGGTAAACCAAAGGAACCATTTAAATAAATGGAAATGCAAATGTCTCATTTCATATTTTGTGAATATTGGAATCTGTTTACTTCATACATATGAGAGTACAAGGACAGGAATATAATAAGTATTGTCAAGTAAATATGATTTAAAATTAAAGTAATTATTATTTTATCACCAACAGTATTAGTTATCTACTGTCACATGACTAGTAACCTCCAAACTTCAGTGACTTAACCACCATTTTATTTCTCAAAATTCTGTGGGTCAGCATGATTCCTTGGGTTGGCTGGTAAGTAAGTTGGGAGCTGGACAGGTGAGGTGCTGGTATGGATGAGCCTCACTTTCCAAGTGATTTTTCATTCTTAGAGAGGCTAAAATGAGTTTCTTTATATGTAGTCCCTGAGCAATGTTCCCAAAACAGCAAAAGCAGAACCAGTACAGCCTTTTAAGTCTTAGCTTCTGTTGTTACATAGTGTAAGTTTTGTTACATTATATTGGTCAGAGCAAATCACAAAGCAAACTCTATATACAAAGATGGGGAAATAGATTTCACCTCTTCATGGTAAAAAGCTGCAAAATCTCATAGCAACAGGGCACAGACACATACAGCATGGTTTCTTGAGGACCATTATTTAAACAATCTCTTACACAAATTAAGTGACAGCTTGATACACTGCCTTTTGAAAGGAAAAGTCCATAATTTTTGACATCATGCTGAGATATAAAATATATGATTTTGTTTTGAGAGCTTCATACATCACTCCAAACTCTTTTTGTGGCATTTTAATGAAACTAGGATGCCTTCATCTTTACACAATATAAAAAGAGATCCTCTGAAATGTTGTAATCTCAGTCATAAAAGAATTAGGCACTAATAAAAAGAATTTCATCAGGTGTCACAGTGAGAAATATTGAGACAAATGGTTGGGATAGAATTTGTAAATAATTCATTCATTTTGATGGTATTATTAAACTAATGACAAAATGAGTATTAGAAAATAGATTAATGCAAATAGTTTTTTGGTTTTTTTTTTAGCAGTAGACTTTTTCAGCAAAGTTGATCTTTCTGTGGAAACATACCAATGGCATGCTAAAGAAGGGAGAAAGAACTGAAGTCTGCTCTGAATTTTTGTCAAAATACATTCAAAATCACAAATTGTTTTTCGAAAATACATATTGTTTTAAGGTCTTGATACAATATCCATTTATAGAACACTTAATATGTTTCAGACATTATTTATTAAATCCTTACTATTAACCCCAATAAAACAGAGACATAGTCCTTGTGGCCTTTTAATAGACAGGAAATAAGGCTCAAAATATTAATCTACCTGTCTTAAGTGGTGGCACTCCAATTTAAAGTCATCATTTTAAGATTTTACTTAGTGCTAATGTCATTACTGCCATTCAAAACTTTTGTGATAGCAAGTCATCACCGTGTATATTTAAAATTTTTCAAAAATATTTCTTTTCTTAAATAATAGTACAAATAAGATAGTCTAGTTACAAAGGTCTTTTTCAGAAGCAATTGGCATTTGATGAATGCTAACAATATAGGTAACAGGTTGTAGATGGAGTACTTTACACATATTTTTCCATTTAATTTCCCAAAACCTTCTATACAATAGGCAATGTTATTTTCAAATTTCACTTAAGAAATAGTCTTAGAGATGCCCTAGCACCTATCATACTGTATAAATCAGAATCTCTATGATCAGTATTTTAGAAATTCTTCCAAAAACTTACTAATGTGCAACCAGAGTTGGAAGTTATTACTTTAAATTGTTTGCTATACATTGCTAGGAAAAAAAAATGATGACATAAATTTGGGGAAGGCTAGAGCAAACTGAATAGCAACCATTTCATAATTTTCTTATCATTACATCAAAATTCCCTAGTATTTACAATTTTTCATTTCAAAGTCATACACTAACAGGTAAGAATTTTAAGATATGTAAACACATTTTCTGAAGGAAATACGTTTTGCTGACACATTGCTAAAATGAATTACATTTTAATGACTTCTGAAGCTTTAGAATTTTAAGATAGAATATAATATAAAACATGGGGTATTTGTGATTGAGGGGAAAACATACATGCACATGAATTTATTGCTTAAATCAACATTAGCGTTTGCTTTTATAGAAGCATTTAAGAAAAAAATGCAATTTTGCTGTTCAATTTTCTAACAATTCAAAGTCTAGTCTCATGTGATCTATCATTTTTAAAGCAGTACCTTCAAAAAATTCACATGCATCTTTTTCTGAAATCTTTTCAAAATCTGCTCCCTAAATTAACTCTATTTGAATATACCTGAATACATTTCAATGTATTAGTCTATTGCATGGTCAGCTTATGTGTGTATTAAACAATCAACGACAGCCAAGTATTACCCATCTATGTGTAAACCTATGTATAAATGAGTAGATATGGCACTTGAAATTTGTGTCTATATTATGCATAAATCTACTACTGCTAATATATTTAGGCTTAGTAAGGTATCCAGTACGTTAAGGTACTAAAATCACCAAGTTACATAAAAAAATTAAGACTCAAGCAAAAATGTTACCTTGTAACATATTAAAGTGGATAAATCTTCTCATATCAAGTAAATTAGTTTTAATAATCATTTTCAGTTCTTTAGAATCTTGAATATTTTAAGTTGCCACTTAGTTCAGAGACTTAACTCTTAAACCACTATAGGAGTTTCAGGAAATTCAATGGATCTCATGCAAGATAAAAACTTACCAGCAAATTTGATGTGAAATTTATTTTCAGGCTTTAATATCTGGACATACAAAGGACAATTTGGAGCAAAATCTTTCACAGCCCATGCTCTCAAAATTGTTTGGTGATCCTGAAGTGATCAAAATAAAAATATCATAAATTACAATTTTTATAATATATAAAGTAAAAATAAGCAATCAGTTTGCTTTGTCACATTCATAGTTAAAACTTAAACATAAAAAGTACTGTGAGGACTTGTTAAGAATACCTATTATTTCCATAGAAGAAGATAGTAATAGCTAATTTAATCATAGCTAATTGCTAGCACTTAGAATATTAGAAAAGATTAAGAGAAAAAATAGCTAGACAGACTTAAAAATAATTTTCCTAGAAAATTCCAGCAGTCAGAAGCTTTCAGACATGTAGCAAAACTAATAATTTGTAATAGGAATTTCCAAGGAGAAATAAAAAACATATGTATAATAATAACATGCTTAGAAAATTACTTTTTAAAATATAATAGTAAAGGTAAAAGAAATTTGACTTGTGTGCGTGTGTGTGTGTGTGTGTGTGTACCTGTGTGGTATGTTTGAAGACATAAAAAACTCTTAGATATAATAAAATATATCAAAAAAGTTTTTAAAAAGACATTTAGACTAAGGAAGGGAATCAAAACCATGCTTAACACGAACTCCTTTACATAGTAGTCACCCAATAAATTCAATGAATTGAAAAAAATCAAGGAAGATTATTAGAGAAATATGCCACAGAGTTAGCTAATACATTTTTGAAAAGGAAGCACGGAAATGCTCTAGGGTAGCACTGTCCATATAACAGCCACCAGGCACATAAGGCTATTTAAATTTGAAGTGTCTAAATTTAAAGTTAAGAATTTAATTACTCAATCACACTAGCCACATTTCAAATACTCAAGGCTGCACATGGCTAGTGGCTGCCATGTTAGAAAGCAGAGGTATGTAAATTTTTCATCACCACAGAAAGTTCTATCTGACAGCACTATTAGTGGAAGGAAAGGAAGATCCAAAATACAGATAGGCACAAGGGACTGTTTATCCAAATGCAGACAGAAGAAGCTGTTTTTTATGGTTGGAAACTGCTATAGACAGAATGATCACTTCCTCCCCAGATTTACACGTTGAAATCCTACCCCACATTGCGAAGGCACTAGGAGATGAGGCCTCTGATAGACCTCATCATGAGGGCAGTCATCATGAATGGAATTAATGCCCATATAAAAGACATCCAAGAGAGAGCTCCCTCACTTTTTCAGCCACGTAAGGATGTTGCAAGAAGACAACTATCTAGGAACCAGGAAGCCAGTCTTTATCAGACATTAGGTCTGCTGGCTCCTTGATCTTGGACTTTCCCACCCCCAGAATTGTGAGCAATACATTTCTGTTGTCTATAATGCACCCAGTATATGCTATTTTGTTATAGCAACCCAAAATATGATAGTAACTTTAAGTTACATGAAAGTTGATGAATGGTAGTCCAGCATGGTTTACATGGACCATATGCACCTTACAGGCAAATGTTCAAATATCAGAATGAGCCTAATAATTCTACTAAGATTCATCAAGTGAATAATTGTTAATCCATTTTACATGCTTTTAAATCTGAGGTTTGAGGATTATAGATAATTTAGTGGAGGATTACTGTTATTTCTCTTTCACTAGAAGTACACAATTTTAAAGGAGAAGGAAAAAAACAGAAAGTAAATCACTATATAAGTGGATGCCAAGTTATGATTTTTATCTTATTTTATTTCATTATGTTTAGCATTGTGCTGAAGATAATGGGCTATTGTAGGGTTTTTAACCCAAATTCATCCCTCAATATCTAATTAGGCTTGGACAAGTTAAAGTTCCTCATTAGTAAACTGTAGATATTCTGTATCTTACAGGATTTCTGTGGTGAAATAGACAACACACATACACCTTTTATTAGAGGTTGGCAGTCAGTTATTGAAAAAACATAAGTTGTTTTTCTTATTACGTGTATCATCTTAGTAGTAGCAGAAGTAATATCATTAAGGATAAAAGGTAAAGAAGAAAAATGAATTTCTTAGAAAAAATTTAAAGTGAGACTTATCTGCTGACACCAGCAAAAAATGTAACATTAATAATAAAAGAAGAAATAGAGGAGGTCAGGAGCCTTATCAATATGAAAGAATAAGCTCCCAGTAAATTGTCCTTGCATATGACAACTATTAAAAAATCTGTAGAACAAGCATATAAAGGCCCTAGTAAATCAACTAAAGTAGGCAGAATTTAGAGGAAAATTAAAACTTGGAGGAAGTATCTTGCATGTCATAATTTCCATGTTTTTGCTGCTGTGACCTGAGGGCAGCTTTGCTTACCACAACCACACAAGTGGGCTAAAACTCCAGAGAAAACCTGCCAGAACAACAAGAGAATGGAGCCTGGAGCAACCAGAGCCACCAGAGACAGGAAAAGGGAGAGGCAGCAAAGAGAAACCACAAATTCTGTGAATGAGTGTAAACAACTTTGGCTGACCTCTGAACCATGAATGCATGGGGAAGCATAAAAACAATCCGAGCTGACATTTGTGAAGCATTACCAACCCCAATGGTGATGGAGTTTTCTTTATTTTGAGTTTAAGCAACTTAGCCTGTGCTAAATTGAGAGCATTAACATTCTTTGGAAGAATACAGTAGAATCCAAGGCTCCGCAACATAACACAATATACAAAATACAATGCAATATTATTTAATTCGTGAATTTCCAGAAAAATGTGACCTATTTGCATGGGAAACAAACAAAATGATAATCAATAGATGGTAGCTACTAGACAGTCTGAGATGTTAGAATGAGCAGAGAAGGAATTAAAGCTTCTACTAGAACTATGATCAGTAACGTAATGAAAAACATGCTTGTAATTAAAAAAGAAAATTTCAGCAGAGTAATAGAAAGTATTTTTAGATTAAAAAGCCGAAGTTTATGAAAAAACATATTCACTATATGGGCTTTGAAATAGATTGGGAATGACAGAAGAAAGGAGTCAGTGAACTTGAACATAGATCAATAGAATTTACTCAATTTGAAAAACAAAGAGAAGAGGTAAGGAAAAGGTAACAGAGTTCAGGAACTTGTGTAACACGGTAAAAAGGTCTTACATAATATAATTGAATTCACAAAAAGAAAACAAAAGAGAAAAAATAACAGAAAATGATTTGAAGAAATAGTGACTAGAAACTTTTTAATTTTGTAGAAGACATACACTTAAAAGTTCAAGAAAATTAGCAAAATCTAAACTATATACCCAAAAAGATAATCACGCCTAGCCACACTGTATTAAAACTGTTAAAAAACAAAAATGAAGACAAAATCTTGATAGCACCCAAAGAAAGAGTCATATGGCCAAGGACTCTCATCAAAAATCATTAAAGCCAAACCACCCTGGAAAAAATTCTGAAGTTTAGAATGAAGGAAAAAAAGCTATGAAACCAGAACTTTGTATCTAGCAAAAACTCCTTCAAACAGGAAGGTGAAATAAAGGACTTTTTAAAATAAAGAAATCTAAGGATATGTACTGCCATTGGAATCATACTACAAGAAAAGTTTATGAAAACTATGTAAGCTCAAGGAAAATGATAGCAGGGAGAAAGAACTTCAGAAATAAAACAAGAGTAACAAATGCTTAATGTTGTAGTGACTATAAAAAACATTTCCTCTTAATTTCCATAAAATATATAATCTGAATAAAGCAAAATGTATAATAATGTTTGGTGTAGTTTCTAATCTATGGATAAATTATTACATCTAACAACAATAACATGGGATAGTAGAAAAGGAATAAATGCAAGTTTATAATTTTAACAAGTGGTATAACAATGACACAAATCTGATATGAAGCAGTAAGAATGTGTATTGTAATCCCTACAGCACTCACAAAAAAGAAAAAAAATTCAAAAGGCATATCTAAAAAGCCAATAGGTATACTACATTCAATACTTTACAAAACCAAATAATAAAAAATGTGGGAAAGGAAAAACAGGAACCAAAATCAGAGGAAACAAACAGAAAACAATTTAGATAGAGCTATATCTAACCATATTAATAATGACATCAAATACTAATGGACTAAACATGTTGAAACACAAAGACGTAGATAGCAAGAAAACAAATAACTGAATTTAAAATGGGCAAGAGATCTGAACAGACATCCGACCAAAGAACATATACAGATTAGAAGAATGAAAAGACATTCAACACATGTCATTAGAGAGTTGCAAATTAAAACAGTAAGATATCAGTAAACACTTTTCATAATAGCTAAAATCTAAAATGCTGAAGACAACAAATACTAGAGAGGACATAGATCAACAGGAAGTTGCATTCATTGCTGGGAAGGAATGCAAAATGATACATCAATTTTGGAATACAGTTTGACAATTTCTTACAAAAGTAAATGTACTCTAACCAAATAATCCAGCAGTTGGGATACTTAGTATTTACTTAAGTGGATAGAAAATGTAGGTCTCTACAAAAACCTGCATGCACATGCTTAAAATAACTTAATTTATAATTACAAACACTTGGAGGTAACCAAGATGAACTTCAAAAAATGAATGGATAAACCGTGCTACATCCATACAATGGAATATTCGGCAATGCACTATCAAGCCAAGACAAGACATGCAAAATCTCAAATGCATATTGCTAAGTGAAAAAAAGACAATCTGAAAAGGCTGCATAATGCATGATTTCAACTATATGTCATTGTAGTAATGCAAAATTATGGACATAGTACAGAGGTCAGTGGTTGCCAGGTTGGGGAAAAGAAAGGACGGAAGGATGTATAGGTAAAGCAGAGAATAGTTTTAAGACTCTAAAAATATTCTTTGTGATATGATAATGGTGAATGCATGTCATATTACATTTATCAAAACCCACAGAATATACAATACAAAGAGTGAACTCTAATGTAAATTATGGTTTTTAGTTAAATAATTTATCAATATTGGTTCATTAGTTTCAACAAATATGCCACAATACTGGAAGATAAAAATGGGAAAATGGGGTGTAGGGGGAGAAGAGTGTAAGGGGTGAGATATGGACATTCTCTATATTTTTTGTTCCATTTTCT